GGGGGGTTAAATTTTCATCATCTGTTTGCCCATGAATTTCACAATTCTGTTGTGGAACATTCAGGATCTGGGTGATTCTGGAAAAAGAGCTGGCATGAGAAAGTTAGTGGATAGTTGCAAACCAAGATCTTGAAAGAAACTCTCTAGAAAGGCCTTTTACTGAAGAAGAGATCCTACAGGTCATCAATGATTTGGGACCTGATGGATTCCTTATAGAATTTTACAAGAAGTGCTGGTCTTTTTTGAAGCAAGACCTGTTGCAGGTTTTCTCTGATTTCTACATCAATGCGGAGTTAGGGGAAGCCTCAAAAGCTAGTTTCATAGCCCTAATTCCAAAGAAGAAAGGTGTAGTAGAAATCAATGACTACAGGCCAGTAAGTCTGATTGGAAGAATCTATAAAATCATCTCAAAGGTGTTGGCTAATAGACTAAGAAGTATGCTTAACCTTTTAATTTCCCCTTCCCGAGGCACTTTTCTTGATGGGAGGCAAATTTTAGATGGGGCTTTGGTGGAAAATGAGTGCATCAACTCAAGACCAAGAGGGGATCTTTTGAGTGTAATCTACAAATTAGACATGGGAAAAAAGTTCATTGGGGTTTTAGAGATTATCTTCTACAGAGAATGGGTTTTGGTTTGAAGTGGATTGAATGCTGTTTGGAAGCGGCAAAAAAAATTATTTTAGTAAATGGAAAGTCGAAAGGATTCTTTCTAGTTAAAAAGGACCTTCGGTAGGGTGATCCCATTTCACCTTTCTTGTTCATTTTGGTGGTGGAAGCTCTAAGTAGAATGATTGATAGGGCTGTCTCGACTGGCTACCTTAAAGGCTTCAAAATCTCAGAAAATAGTGAATTGATTACCATCCTCCAATTTGTTCACGACTCTTTGATCTTCTCTAGAGTCTAGACCAAGCTGTTGTGATCTGTTGTTTCTCAGGTGCCTCCTTATATATTTTGAGGCTGTTTTAGGGCTGAAGATAAACCTCCAAAAGAGTGCATACATCCCAGTGGGAAATGTACCCAACATATATGAGTTTGTGGAAGTCCTGGGCTGCAGAGTGGGATCCCTCCCATCTAAAATTTTAGGGCTGCCCTTAGGTGCTACTGCAAATCTAAAGAAATTTGGAACCCAATGATCAAAAGAGTAAAGTCTAAGCTAGCAGGGTGGAAGACACACTATCTGTCAAAGGGTGGTAAGTTAACTCTTGTTCAGAGTGCCTTTTCAAGTTTACCGACTTATTACCTGTCAGATGTCACTCTTCCAATCATCAGCCTTTGTCTTAAACTTCCTTAAGAAACTAAGAAGAGACTTCTTGTGGAAGGGAAAGGATGATGAAAGGAAATTTCACTTAGTTGCGTGCTCAGAATTTGTAGACCAAAAAAGTTGGGTGGTTTGGGTGTTAAGTCTCTGAAGCAAGTAAACTTGGCCCTTTTGTCCAAATAGCTGTGGAGGTTTGTCAGAGAACATGATGCCCAATGGAGAAATCTGATAAAAAACAAGTATGGGGAAGCTAGCTTTGG